GACATGAACATGGACATGCCAACTTAGTTGAATGTTAGTGCAACACATCATTTAATCATCTATCTAATATTTTCATTCCTCAGTAATTTGTCACCTCGACGTTTAATTCCACTTCTCTCCCTTTTTTTCTTAAGAAGAAAAGACTAAACAAAAATTCTTAAGAAGACAAGACTAAACAAAAAACTAAGATGATTGCTTTCATCATCTATCTTCCCTAAAATCTATCCCTACAAAATGATGTCACCGGGGTATATCCCAGGGGTACAAAAGATAAGGGTGATGTATACTCAACCTTGTTGACAATCGTCTTGTGAGGGTTCGATTCCTGAAACATGGATTGAGACTCTTTATGGACACCAGTGTACAGACAGCTCTTGTTCCCTGACTGATGGGGCACATCTCGCGATTAATCTCTCTTACGATACTCCAGAGGCGAGGTGGTGGGAGACCCTTAAGGTTGGAGTTTAATCTTTTTTTTTTATATTTTTTTTTATCCCTGCAAAATGACATGTATTATAGTACATGAATGAAGTCATCACTAACAAATTTCAAATTAAAATAAGAATTTTTTTTTTGATATTTTATAGTAAATGAATCTCATTTTTAACAAACATCACAGAATTCAAATAGCATAACACATCGCTACAAATTTATGCACATAAAACAAAACAAGGAGAACATAAAAACTGAAGGAAAAAAATGCTAATAACATAAAGAATTATAGGAATTTAATTTTTTATATCATGATGGAGGTGTAATGAAAGACAATACCCAATTATATCGAAAATTGCACGTGATTTACTAACACTTTTGGTGTTAGCATTAGAAGCTGCATTTAGTTTAGGTGGTCGAGTTTTATCAGACGAATGATCAAGACTAAAAGAAAATATATTGGAGGTTTTAATATGTTTAAACGATTGAGAATGTGCGAAATTACGTATTCAAGAACAAGTTGATAGTATAATGGCCGAAAAGTTGTAGCAGATCTAAGTATAAGGATATTGTAAGTTTTTAAATTGATTAATTTACAAAAAAAATGTAATTTTTAAATTTATTTGTCTCAAAAAAATTTGTACAAGAAATATTTTATTGGTGTACAATTTTAATTCTTCATACGTTAATTGTAGTCGGTCCCAAGTCCCCAAAAATAAGGAGGATGGTTGTAATTTTTATTTAATTTATAATTCGTAAAAATTGTATGATTTTTTTTTTAAATTTAGAATTGTAAAAAAAGACAAAAACAAAAAAAAAAAAGAAAAAAAACGCTCAGGAGCCAGCTCGGACGCGTAAAAAAACTTGGACAATTTTACTTGCCCTCGTCGGAGCCCGAGTTTTGACTCGCGAGTCGGCTCAACTAGTTGACACCAGTCTCACCTTTGGGCTGAAATGCTTTATTTCTATTTGGGCTAGTCGTTGGGCTGTTGTAAAAGACACACTACAACACTTGAGTGAAGCAACTGTGCAGCTTGCGATCGGATATCTCTCTATGATTTCTGGCCGACATCCGCCGACAGGTAATTCACCCTTCTTTTCATTTCTTTTATTTTTCTCTGTTGTCTTGAATTCATTTCATCCGAATCTCAGATTGAATCGTTAGTACGAACTTAAATTCATTTTAATATTTTGTATGCATTTCATTTTTTGGAACTGTTTTTAAGCGAGCCTTAGCACTTAGACTTGAAATTTTGTAGAGAGGGAGATCGTGCGGACCTTTGAAATTGCAGAGGTAGGGTCAAGGTCTCTGTTGGTTTCAATAATTCGCGAGAAAATTTTCGAAGTTCACCAAAAACACTAAATTAACTTATACAAAACATGCCCTAAATTAATTGGTAATCAATAGAGAAATCAGAACAGTGAATGAAGACATGCTGCGAACAACAAAGAGAAGCCAAGAATTTAGAAATCTTCTACCCAGGTGTCTAAATTTTAAACCCTAATTTTCTAGATGTGGGATGATGATTAATCGTGTAATGTGGTGGTGGGTTTGTTGTCATGATGCTCGATGGGATTAGGAGAATGGAGCAAATTTAGGTTTGATTTTAAGCAATCTCTAGGTCGAATTGTATATTTGCCTTTTGATTTTTTAAAGTTCGAGCAGATTATGATTTGTGTAGGTTTGTGTCTGTGTATTTACCTTTCTTCAGTTTTGTAATGGACAAAGTTAACTTTTCATGAATTTTAATCATGAATTCAGTTTTTTTCCACATGTCAATTTTAATGGCAATATTTAATATTTTTCATATTCTCTATTATATTATCTCAGTGCAAATGTAATACCAGAGTTTATTGCTGAGTAAAATAAGATTAACAATATCAAAGTGAAATGTAGACAGTAAAAACTATTTGATATCGGTATATTGGTGTTCTTGTGTAATACTTAATTTGGCACCAGAACCAAATATCCTGCCTTTTTTATCTTTAAATTTCAAAGCCCAAGTTGCAATGTAGGTTTTTTGGCTAAGTTCAAGGATGATAGTAAGAAGTTAGAGATTCACATATCTGCTGGCAATGCAGCTTCTTTGGAAGATAGGAAATCAATTGGAGAAGAGGAAACAGGCCATACAAAAATCATCAGATTCTGTTTGCAAAAATTACATTGAAATTTGCACTAATTGAGATTTGGATTTCAAAATTCTAATGCACCTTACAACTCATCGCATACATAGCTTAACCGACTAATACACCTCGTCTCATGGTCTACATCACCAACTAAACTTATTCCTCTTCCAAACTCTTAAACAGTAATGATTCTGAGGCCAATGTGCTGCATGAACAGATTGCACATGGATTGAAATCAGCAATATATTCCGTTACAAAATCAGGCATCTAATTGAAGTAGAACTTCAGGAAGGAAATTAAAAAAGTTTCTCATATTCTGCACAGTATACTTAAAGTAATAGGAAGATTAAGATTCAAAACTTACTGCCTACAAATTTTTATATGTAGTTTTGATTATTTTTTCTCATCTGGTACAAGTTTAGAACTCTTTCCTTTCTGAAAGTGTTCACAAGAATCTGGCACAGTCATTTATTCCTCTGTATTTCTTGCTAAGCACGTTGGAAATTGATAGACTTTTTTGTTTGTGAGGTGGATTTGTGGTTGTTTGTCTCTTCCATAAGGTTCACAAGCTAATGTGAGAATCTTAGTGAGAATTGCGAAAATACATTATGACTTTCATAAATTTTAGCCCCCCCGCCCCCTCACCAAAAAAAAAAAAGTCTTGGTTTAGCTCCGTCCCTAATTTCAAGATGGTTTATGGGTATTATCCGCAGTTTTCATATTTTTTGAATCATTTTAGTTTGAGGCTACACAGAACACCCTGATAACTGATTCTCATGGCATAGATCTACTTGCTGTTAATGGACAGGTAAGAATATTCTTCCCATGGATAACTCTTATACGGCATTTAGTATCGGAGCTCATTTGTTTATCCCTTTCATCCAAACTCTGGTAATAATGGGTCTCAACTTTGGAGGAAAAACTAATGATTGTCACAAAATCCAGTGTAATATATTTATTCAATTGAATGTTGGCATTCAATTAAAGTTGTAATGTGTACATTTGCATTCTTTCAGTTCCTCAATCCTTCACCTATTTTTTTCTATTCCATCGACAAATCTTAAACATCTAAAATTGAAGTTACAGTGTGTATATGTGTTCTTTTATTTTCTTGGTGACCCATTAATTTGTCTAAATTTTTATGTTTCAAACTGTAGTTAGATTGCTATGTGATCAATTTTAGGAAACATGATTGAAGACGGTATAAAAGATAACCAAGGGTGGTTTGGGAAGACTTGATACCACTTCCAGTAAAGCATAAATATAGCCCTGGCCTGCTTAAATGGGAAAAAATGGGTAAACATCTGCTTAAACAGTCTTGTGTGACTCCAGTGAGATAATTAGTGGAAAACCAAATTTGAATTTAGACATTTTTGAACAGAAGGATAAAATATTGGAAAATGACAAAAGTCCTCTTGATATCTTCACTGACATGTTATTTATTTTATTTTTTTTTAGCAGTGTCAAAGCAATATAACAATAAATAATTGACAGAAATATTCCGATAAGCAATTCAATGTTCTAAACGATCATATCTGAGGTGAACTGAGATTGAAGTGAAATGAGATTTGTCGTGATCAGTTTAGCAATTTCAGGTTCTGAACAGAGTTTTATGGTCCTAGTTTTTTGAGTTCCCAAGCAAAGCCAAAAGAAGAGAGATAATTGGTTTAGTTCTAGGTCTGAATGAGAACACCTGGAAATATGTACAATACCGACCTAAATCAATAATTTAGACCCCACAATCACAAAAGAAAATGTAACTCTGCCCTGATGCAAAAAATAAAGTAGCACAATAAAATTAAAAATATGCTTTGCATATTGGAAAGGTAAAAAAGTAACCTTCCTCCAACTCGGCCACTGACTTGAATTTCATTGGCAGCATTATGGCAGAATTAAACAATATGTCAGAAGTGGGTTTCCGCATATTTTACCTCTCTTCTATCTCTAACTTAAGAATTGGTTCTCGTGTAAAGCACATTTCTCCTAATTTATGTCGGATTTCTAGGACGTAAAACTAGGAAATCCTATATGTTTTCTGATTTGTAGCCTAGAGATATGCCATTTTATTTTCTATGGCAGCATTATGGCAGAATTAAACAATATGTCAGAAGTGGGTTTCCGCATATTTTACCTCTCTTCTATCTCTAACTTAAGAATTGGTTCTCGTGTAAAACACATTTCTCCTAATTTATGTCGGATTTCTAGGACGTAAAACTAGGAAATCCTATATGTTTTCTGATATGTAACCTAGAGATATGCCATTTTATTTTCTAATTTTATGGCCTTCCTAAATCGGTGGCCTTTTTCCTTCTATTTAAATTGTAATCGTCATTCTTGAATAAAATAAGCAGTATAATTCTTCTTCTTCCAAACTATATGCTATCACAGCCTTGTGCTCCCCTTTTAATTCGTCCTCCCAGATGATGTCATATAAGTCGGCCATGACTGGAGCCCAAAGAAACTCAACCGCCGCTTCCGGTGCGCCTGAAATCGCTCGGCCCAGCCCCACCGTTCCTCCCAATTCCACTGCTCCTCCCTCGTTCGCATTTGCAGATAATTATCCCCAAATTTCAGCCTCTTTTCTTGTGACTACAAAACTCAACGGACACAATTATCTCGATGGCAGGGGCAAAATCGGGCATCTTACTGGCGAAACAACGAAACCTGCTGCCGACGACCCGAATGTAAAAAGATGGCAGTCTAAAAATTCTCTAATTATTGGCTGGCTCATCAATTCAATGGAACCCACCATTGGAAAGCCTCATCTGTTTCTTCCCACTACTAAGGACGTCTGGGAGGCGGTTTGGGACCTTTATTTGGATCTGGAAAATTCTTCCCAAATTTTTGATTTAAAAACCCGACTTTGGAAGTCCAAACAGAACGATCGCGATGTTACTACCTACTACAACGAATTGGTAACACTATGGCAGGAACTTGATCAATGTTATGATGATGTCTGGGAAAATCCAAATGAAGCTGCTCGTCACATGAAGAGGGAGGAAAATGACAGGGTCTACATGTTCTTAGGTGGCCTTAATCGGAATCTGGACGAGGTTATGGGCCGTATCCTTGGTCGGAAACCACTGCCTCCTATGCGTGAGGTGTTCTCTGAGGTTAGATGCGAAGAATCAAGGAGGAAAATAATGCTACACAAGACTGTATCTGACCTTAATCTGGAGCCTAATAGTTCTGCCCTTGTGTCTAAATGTATTTAGACAATGATGGGCAGAAAAAACCATGGTGCGATTATTGCAAAAAATCGTGGCATAAAAGGGATATGTGCTGGAAGCTTCATGGTAAACCAGCCAACTGGAAACCAAAGTCCAAAAGAGAAGGTCGAGCCTACCAAACCATATCTGAAGTAACTCAAGAACTTTCAACCAATTCAGATGCAGTTCCTTTCTCCAAGGAACAATTAGAGCACATGTACAAGTTATTTCAATCTCCAAAAATGTCCTTAACTCCTTCCTGCTCCTTGGTACAAAAGGGTAATTCTCTTGTCACTGCTTTTTTAGGTGTTATCCCTAATTGTGCTCTTTCGTGGATAATTGATTCTGGCGCAACCGATCATATGACCGGCTGCTCCCAATTGTTCTCATCCTATAGTCCATGTGCAGGCAATAAAAGGGTAAAAATCGCTGATGGTTTACTCTCGGTAATTGTCGGGATAGGAACTATCAAACTCACTTCATTGATAACCCTCCATGATGTACTCCATGTTCCCAATTTTTCTTGCAATTTGCTATTCATCAGTAAAATCACATCTGATCATCAGTGTCAAGCTAATTTCTATTCTTCTCATTGTGAGTTTCAGGAATTAACTACGAGGAGGATGATTGGCAGTGTTAAGGAAAAAGATGGACTCTATTATTTTGACGAAGGACCTAACTCAAGTAGGCAATGTCAAAGTACTTGTTTAAATTCTATTTCTGATTTCGAGAATAATAATGTTATGCTATGACACTATAGGTTAGGCCATCCTAGCTTTCAATATTTAAAATATCGGTTTCCCAACTTACTTCGGAATAAAAATCTATTATCTTTTCAATGTGATGTTTGTCAGTTTTCTAAGCATCATCGTGCATCTTTCCCCACCCAACCTTACAAACTAAGTAGACCATTTACTGTGATTCATAGTGACATCTGGGGGCCATGTGGAATACCTACATACTTTGGAAAAAAATGGTTTGTGACCTTTATTGATGATCACACGAGAATAAGTTGGGTGTATCTGATGAAGGAAAATTTTGAAGTGGAAATAATGTTCAAAAACTTTTACACCATGGTACAAACACAATTTCAAAAAAATATTCAAATATTGCGAAGTGATAATGGTCGAGAATATTTCAAAAACATGTTAAACCAATTTTTTCTTGAAAAAGGGATTGTTCATCAAAACTCATGTGTTGACACTCCACAACAAAATGGCTTAGTTGAAAGAAAAAACAAACATTTACTGGAAGTAACTCGGGCATTGTTATTTACCAATCAGGTACCTAAATATATTTGGGGTGAAGCCATTCTTACTGCTACATATCTCATAAACAGAATGCCTAGTAAGATTTTAAACTTTAAAACACCTTTCGATGTTTTTCAAAAGTTTTATCCAACAAATCGACCTTCTTCATCTATACCACTAAAGATATTTGGTTGTACCGCTTTTATTCACATTCATAAACAAAATCGAGGAAAACTCGAACCCTGAGCCACAAAATGTGTATTTGTGGGATATGCACCCACTCAAAAAGGGTATAAATGTTTTGAACCCATTTCCAAAAAAATGTTTGTTACCATGGATGTTACCTTTTTTGAATTACAACCCTATTTCACACCTCATCTTCGGGGGGGAGAACCAAAACAAAGAAGATTCGGCAACTATTTTCCATGATCTTTTCCAAACTACAGAACCGCAAAATGATCCTTCTCCAACCTTGATCATTCAACCTAAAAACCCTAGTGTCATTATGCCAAGTGAGTCAAGTTTCTTAGATACTGAAAAGGGAGTTCAACTTGAAAACCCTAGCGTCATTTTGCCAAGTGAGTCAAGTTTCTTGGATATTGAAAAGGGAGGGCCTCCTATAGTGACAACTCATGATGTCCCCAACGAAAGAACAGTAAGGAAAACATTTGACATTGTCTACTCGTGACAAAGGACAACTCAAAAGAAAGGGTCCTCCAATCCTTTGCATTGCCTAGAATCCGTAAACCTTCCAAGTAATGTCCTTACTGAACCTTTACCTCATGTTCAACTCAATTCATCTTCTAATTCTGAACCCTCCAAGTCTGATTCCTATCCTGAGATAGGTGATTCTGAACTTCCCATTGCAGCCCGGAAGGGTGTGAGGTCTTGTACCCAACATCCATTGTCCAATTATGTGTCATATAAAAATCTCTCACCTGTATTTCGTGCTTTTACCTCACAATTGTCTTGTATGGAGATTCCTAATACTGTGCAAGATGCTTTGAAAGTTCTTGAATGGAAAGAGGCTGTCTTTGAGGAGATGAAAGCTCCTGAAAAAAATAGCACGTGGGAGGTAGTTGATCTACCAAGAGGAAAGACAACTGTAGGATGCAAATGGGCGTTTACAATCAAGTATAAATCTGATGGCTCTCTAGAACGATATAAAGCTCGATTGGTTGCCAAGGGATTCACTCAAACCTATGGTATTAATTACTTAGAGACATTTGTACCAGTCGCAAAGCTAAACTCGGTAAGATTTCTTTTGTCACTTGCAGCTAATCGTGACTGGCCTCTGCAACAGTTGGACGTAAAAAATGCGTTCCTTAATGGCGACCTAGAGGAAGAAGTGTACATGGATGCACCCCCAGGATTCTGTGAAAAGTTTGGCACAAAGGTATGTAAATTGAAGAAGTCCCTATATGGATTAAAACAATCACCAAGAGCCTGGTTTGAAAAATTCTCTCAATTTGTTAAAAGTTAGGAGTATACTCAAGGACCAGGTGATCATGCGATGTTTATAAGACATTCACATGATGGGAAGATAGCAATACTGATCGTGTATGTAGATGATATGATTCTCACTGGAGATGATGTACTTGAGATGAACCGATTGAAGACTTCCCTCTCATCAACATTTGAGATCAAGAACTTAGGATCTCTGAGATATTTCCTTGGAATGGAGGTTGCTCGGTCAAAAAGAGGAATTGCTATCTCCCAATGGAAGTATGTCCTTGACCTTCTCAAAGGAACTGAGATGAGTGGTGGTTGGCCGGCTGACACTCCAATTGATCCCAATAAAAAACTGGGTGATAACAAGGAAGGTGATCTAGTAAATGCAACTCGGTATCAAAAGTTGGTGGGAAAGTTAATCTACTTATCACATACACGACCAGATATTGCCTTTGCTGTGAGTTTGGTAAGCCAGTTTATGCACTCACCTTACGCAAAACATCTTGAAGTAGCTTATTAAATTCTTAGTTACTTGAAAAGTACACCAGGGATGGGGTTACTCTTCCAGAAGACCACACAGCAGAACATAGAGGCTTACACTGATGCAGACTGGGCAGACTCAATTATTGATCGGAGATCTACAACAGGATACTGTACTTATGTTTGGGGAAATATGATTACATGGCGAAGCAAAAAACTGAATGTGATTGCAAGGAGCAGTGCCGAAGCAGAATATAGGGCTATAGCTAACGGGGTTTGTGAGATGCTATGGCTGAAGAAAATTCTTGAAGATCTACGGATGCCAGTGAACATGCCAATGAAGTTATATTGTGACGACAAAGCTGCCATAAGTATTGCTCAAAATCCAGTACAACATGATCGCACAAAGCATGTAGAGATTGATAGACATTTCATAAAAGAGAAGATTGATAGTGGAACTATTTGCATGCTGTTTATCCCCGCTACTCAACAAAAAGCCTATATCTTCACCAAAGGACTTTTCAAATCTAGTTTTGAACTTTGTATAAGCAAGTTGGGTATGATAGATATCTACGCTCCAACTTGAGGGGGGGGGGGGGGGGGGGGGGGTTGTCGGATTTCTAGGGAGTAAAACTAGGAAATCCTATACGTTTTCTGATCTGTAGCCTAGAGATATGCCATTTTATTTTCTGATTTTATGGCCTTCCTAAATCGGTGGCCTTTTTCCTTCTATTTAAATTGTAATCGTCATTTTTGAATCAAATAAGAAGCACAATTCTTTTTCTTCCAAACTATAACAATCAATTTGCTCATCAGCCAGACAAGACTGACCGGCCTATATTTTCTTTCTAGTACGCACTGATGAAACGGTGTGTACGTAAACTAGGCTGCCGCCCACTTCCATTAGTTTAGGCTATAACTGGATTTCCAAACACTACCTTGTTTGTCAATTCTTTCATTTTTATGAATAAAGAAAGATATTTCTTGCATAAAATGTCTCTATCACCCACTTCTCTTTTCTTTATATTTCTCATTTTTTATATATTGAAGAAAGTGAATGCTTATTGCATTTGGCAGCATAGGATTAAGGCTTCAAGATTGATGGCACAGATGATCCTGATCATACTTAAGTTGTTTTTTATAACCAATTGTCCAAGTCTTTACTTCAATGTAAAATTAGCGTTCTTCACACCTTATGACTATTTAATAGCTATTCTATAACTGGGGTGCTGGAACTTTATATTTTAATGCTTATCTCACATTACACTTTTGATATACTTGTGGCTCTATCTGCTATCTCTATGAATGCTGCCAGGAGTTTTTGATGGCTAACTTGATTGCCAATTTTCCCTCTTGTGGGCCTGATGTTGGATTTTTATTCTTTCCAAGCTTCAAAGTGTTACTTTTTTAATCTAGCATACATTGTGAATATACAGCTGCATTTGTTACATCAGCTTTATTTATGAATCTGTTTTGCTATTATTTTGTTAACTGAGTTTTCAGAGAAAGAAAATCGCTTGTTGGGTATCTAAAGAAAATTTTCTTACCGTCTACAGGGAATTTTGAGAATCAAGATTGACCCATAAGATGAGCACTTATATGAGTCGATTATTTTCTAGGTCTAGTTCGAGCATATTCTTGCAAAGTGGTATTACTTTGCTGCCCAAAGTTCTAGGTTTAAGGGAAGAAATGTTCTTGGCGGATGCAGGAATTGGGACCCCAAGAATTTGCACTCAAGATGAGCTTATAAGAGACCCAAAAATGGCCTATGAGGTTCGAGAATCGGGTTGAATATCTCGATCGTGTGTCAGGTGAAACGCCAATCAAAAAGCAAATCTTGGAACGTTGCTTCGTTGATATGGTGACTGGTGATTCGGCAATGAAAGAGCGAGCTGCTGTTTGGTTCAATGATTTGGTGGGACCCACCGATTCCGTGTCTGGGGAGCCGCTTCTCTTTCCAAGAAGGTTCAGAAAAAACCGAGCCTGGATGGAACTGACAAAGATTTGGCGAACAAATTCAAAGGTTAGAGGCTTCGTAGCTGAGAAAGTGAGAGGAGGCTACTCAGTAGCCATTGCAGGTTACATTGCTTTCCTTCCGACTCGTCCTATGATAAACAGAAGGGTACCGAGTGATCAATTCATCATCGAGAGCATTAACCCGAAAACCATGAAAATTGTGGTGGTGAGAACTTGATAACCGGTATCCATTGCAATTCGTACTTTTGGAGTTAAAGAGTTCGAATCTGTTCGAATTTTCTTATTTTAGAATTTTGTATTTTCAAGAAATTGCCAATGCGACTGCTGCTTGTTTTCGGCACCTATACATCTTCATTATGTGAAATGGTTGTGTGTAGGGAGGAAATTGTTGGAAATGACCGGATAATTTAGGTGTATTTCGAAAGTGACTTTTGACCGTCTTTTTAATTAAAAAAAGCGAAAATTAAATTTAAAGCTCAAAATCCCAAAATGCCCCTCGGCTATCCTTTTTCCATTTGCTCAACAGTCGCACAAAACTGAAGGAAAAAACGGTCGGTTTCCAGTCGGTTGGGAGAACTTTTGATTGGAGAACTTGCTAGTCCATCGTCGACGAATTACTTCTTGTTAAGATAATCGTTATTATATTGAATATTTGCTTGGATTAATATTTAGATTTTGATAAAAGTTGTGAATAATTCATTTTTGGGAGTTTTTTTAATATATTGTTGTTTATATAGGTAATATAGGGTTTAGATAGTGTTTTAGTGGTTGGTATTGTAAATTTGGCAGCTTTCCTCGTCGAAAATAGAGATTCTCCGACGAGAAAAGGCCCAGCAACCGGCTTTTTTTGGTAACCAAAAAGTATGGGCCGACTGTATAACAGTCGGCTGAACAGTCGTTATGGACCGACTCAATCAATCCATAACGACCATTCAGTCGGCCCAACTTAGTGGGCCGACTGTCAGCCCACTCCTTTTTTTGTTAAATTGTTCAGCCCAATTTTTTTTTTAATTTATATACATATATTTAATAATTTAATTTTAAATAATTTTTATTATTAGTTTGTTAACAGTCGGTCCATAACGACTGTTCAGCTGGCCCAACTTAGTGGGTCGATTGTCAGCCTGACGTTGGGCCGACTGTTAGCCAACTACTTTTTTTTTTTAAAATTGTTCAGCCCAATTTTCTATTTTTATTTGTTTTAATAATTTAATTTTAAATAATTTTTATTATTAAAATTTTTAGTCGTCGAATTTAAATAAAATTTTTACATTTAATCTTTGTTTTAATATTTATTTTTATTTCCTCATTTTTGATAAATAATAATTTTTTCATTTATCGAATTGAAATAATTATTTTAATTGTGAACTTAAATTTAATATTTATTTTTATTATTAGCTTTTGATAAATAATAATTTATTTAGTCGTCGAATTTAAATAAAATTTTTACTTTTAATTTTATTAATAATTTTGGCTGATATTCTTTTCGTTCATCAGATTTAATTAATTTTTTAATTGTAATTTGAGATAATTGTTGGAAATTTAATTTGAAATATAATATTTATTTTTATTATTAGCTTTTGATAAATAATAATTTATTTAGTCGTCGAATTTAAATAAATTTTTTACTTTTAATTTTATTTATAGTTTTGGATGATATTCTTTTCGTTCATCGAATTTAATTAATTTTTTTAATTGTAATTTGAAATAATTGTTGGAAATCTAATTTGAAATTTAATATTTATTTTTATTATTAGTTTTTGATAAAAAATAATTTATTTAGTCGTCGAACTTAAATAAATTTTTTAATTTTAATTTTATTAATAGTTTTGGATGATATTCTTTTCGTTCATCAGATTTAATTAATTTTTTTAATTTTAATTTGAAATAATTGTTGGAAATCTAATTTGAAATTTAATATTTATTATTATTATTATTTTTGTAAATAATAATTTATTTAGTCGTCGAATTTAAATAAATTTTTTACTTTTAATTTTATAAATAGTTTTGGATGATATTCTTTTCGTTCATCAAATTTAATTAATTTTTTAATTGTAATTTGAAATAATTGTTGGAAATTTAATTTGAAACTTAATATTTATTTTATTATTAATTTCGTTCATCGAATTTAAATATTTTTTGAACTTGAATTGATTAAAAAAATATTGATAATTAGAAAAAATTGACATTATTGATAATAGGATACAAAAATTCACATTATTGATGATTTTAGTTATTATGAATCTTCGTCTTGCGTATTGTTGTTATAATTTCGTTCGCTAAATTTTCTGTTGTTATGCTTTATTTTATTATCACTTGTACAATGTTATAACATTTTGAATTTTTATAGGACGGATTATCACCTTGACGCAAAGTTGAGAGAGATGCCAGGTAGCTTTGACAGTTTCACTGCTGTGTTAGAGTGCTCGATGATCAGCATATGCTACGCCAATCCTTCTTGTGGCTCTTGTACTCGTTGAGAGATCTGCAGTACGCGGGTCAGATTATTGATGCACTTCTATGTCGATGGCTGAGTCCAGTCGACAGCGATGCCCTCCACTTCGCAGTTGGGGGTAAAGTCGTCAGTTTTTAGATGTTCGAGTTTGCTATGATCACGGGATTAAATATTACGGGCGATGAAGCAACTGGTGATGGGACTCAGAGAAGAAATATGCTTCATGATGCTTACTTCGAGGGACAGGGAACTGTGCTTCTTACACAGCCGTTCGATGCAATTAGGAGATGTGATCAGATGTTAGACAGATTGAAATTAGGTTTGGTCTACATCCTTGAGAGCATGGTGCGGTGTCACCACAAGAAGACTACGACTGACCTCTTCCATCTGGAGATCGTTGACGACATCGATCGTTTCAACGACTATCCATGGGGTTGGAGATGTTTCGAGGACACTGTATACGTCTTCATCAGATCGCACTCGAAGCTAAAGGGGGCCATACGTAAGTACGACACTTATGGATTGCCCTTGACGGTGCAGGTAAATGGTTAACATAATGAATGTTAAAATTATCTTCCTATTGAATTTGTAGATAATAATTGTATGTGTTGCAGATCTGGGCATATGAGACTGTCCACCTAATGGGTGCCCGCTTTGCAAGGCGAGGGGAGACACGCTGCCCTAGGATGCACCATTGGAGAGCATCTCGATCGGAGGGATGTTCTACTTAAAAACAGTTATTAGCTATCCTCAACAACCCTCAGGTGAGTATTATGCATTTGTAATTTATATTGTGCGTGATTTAACATCTGATTACATGAATGTTAACTGGTTCAAATGTCAATATATCAGTTTAAAGTCATAACTGAGTTGACGCCATCGATGGAAGAGGAGGCTCAGGGTCTTGTGCGTGAATTAGGCGCTTCACACACCCAAGACGTCCAGATGTCCAATTCGATCCACAACCGAGATTGGGTGAGCGAATTGAATAAAATCTATTGATTATCGTTTTGTATGAGTTAGCAATTACGGATTAAGTTAATAATTTGTAACGTTGCTTGTGTAAGAGCGTGATCCAGTTGATCGATGATCACCTCTATCGAGGGTATCACCAACTTCTCCGCCGAGGGTATCTCCTCCGTCTCTCCCGTCCAGAGACCTTTCCCGTGGATCTCCCGCATATAGTCAGGGGTACAATTTTGATGATCTGTATGCCTGTCTTAGTGGATTTATAGCGGAGCAGGTCGACGAGCTGCGGACTTATAGCGGAACAAGTCGTCGGGCTACGTTGAGAGATGATAGAGAGGGTTGATGATCTGGGACAACAATTAGTAGGAAGGGTCGAAGATTTGTCGAATGATGTTAGAGTGCTGCGTGGCCATTGTGTGGACCTTGAGGATGAGATTGCAACACTTCGAGGTGATATAGCCGGCAGGCGATGGGTTGACGGAGACGGTGATCGAGGGCTGATCGAGAGGGTGATAGAGATGGGGGTCACCGGTAGTTGTACATGCATGATGATGATGCATGAGAATAATTTATTTTATTCGTGGAGCGCGATGGGATGGGAGCGGTGGCAGAGGAGAGGGGCCCGTCGGGGAGGGAGACAGTGGCCCGTCGGGGACGGAGACAGTGGCAGATGAGGGGATAGAGGAGGTGGCAAGCCCTGGGGTGGAGGAGGTGGCAATGTATAAGGCAAAAAAACGTGCTGTTGACATGTCGGAGATGGTGATTAACAAGAGGCTGAAAGTGCCGTCACAGTACGTCATCTCTCTTTTCACGGCTGAGACGAAGAGGGTGAGGTTCGTTGACGGGACGTACCCTAATTTGTTCCAGGAGGTCGACCATGCTAAGTGAAAAGCATTCGAGGCTAAGTGGCGAAGAATGTTGCCCGGATAAGTATTGTATGATTTAATAGACTATCAGAACTCGTATATGCTTCGTTTAACGTTTTTTCTATTTTATTTCCAGAACCACGCACATGATAGTTGGAAAGACGATATCGGACGTATACAAGTGGTTCCATGATATCACCACTCAGAGGGTTTGGCTCGCCGACGATGTAAGTGAAGTGTTATTGTTACTTTTTGTTTACGTTATGTTTAATTTGTTAAATGAAATAAGTATTTATTTTTTTATTTTTCTTGATGTAGCACATTGACATAGCCATGAACTTGTTGCGCGATCGAGTTGAGAGAGATCCACAATCATTCCACAAGCCTGGCCAAATAATAATAAACACCGAGTTCTTCCGTGCCGTTACCATTGAGTATCAGTCGCTCCAACTTCTAGATAATGAGTACGGGCTTCCTGCGTATATGATCGAGTGGGTCATTGGGCTATCACCGAGTGTTGGGGGAAAGCCATGGGGCGGGGTTGTACGCATTTGTACATTCCAGTGATTGTGAATCAGCACTGCATTGTACTAGATATCGTCTTCCCTGATTCGACGATATATGTGTACGACCCCGATCATTAATGTCTGACATAGGGGCAGCTTGAGCAGAACTTAGAGCCTGTAACTGTGATCGTTCCTCTGATGGCTAGACATGTGGGCTTGTCTATGGAGGATAAGCTAGCCATCATGCGGGACAGGACGACGGCGAGACAGTCTAAATCGTAAGTCTTTTTAATTTTTTTTTAATTTAGTAATCAGTTCGTACGTAATTGGAACCGAATTAACACATATTTGTTCATTTGCAGGGGCGACTGTGGGATTTTCGCAATCAAATACATAGAATTTTTTAGTATATCACATAAGGTTGATGGAATCAACCAATCATGGATACAGAATTGGCAAAATAAGTTAGCTTGTGATTTATACGAATTTAATTTTGATCCATAAATTATTTGTAAATATTTTTTGTAATTAATATTTGTAATTATTTTTTATGATTATTTGTAACTATTTTTCGCAATTGTTCGTAATTATTCATGTAAATACTGTTTATTTCAATGTAAATACTATTTATTTCAATATAAATACGAGCTAAAATCTGAATATTGATTATGTCGATGTAAATACTGTTTATTTCACTATAAATACTAGTTGAAATTTGAATATCGATTATGCGGATGTAAATACTATTTATTTCAGATCGACAACAATACACAATACTCTAACTGTCATTTAGGAGAACCTAACTTGTACAAAATTAGCGAGTATGTCCTACTAATTTGCACTTGCTACACCTACGCGGTCACGAAAATTCTCCAGTAAATGGTATTCTAGAAATACTTAGACGTTCAAGACCACGTGGTTCAATTAGAGGTGGCGACAATGTATTGAAAGGGCGAATATGATCGGGAACTTCTCACTCGACTTCATTTGGAAGTGGAAATATGGTTTCAACATACGCAACTCTCCAGTTTTCAGCAGTTTAATAAGGAGAGCACAATGTTCTCGCTGCAAATCCTTGATACATGGCCACCGCAACTGCATGCTTACATGGAAAACTCTCTAACTAAAATTATTTACAAGTGCATGTTCCATCAGTCAAGTCTACCAGGTATGTCGTATAACGTGCACATTCCACAGAGAAGCGGGACTCGTCTGGTAGTTCGACATTTAACTTTCTCGCAGCCTCTGCAGCCTTGAAGAGCTTTTCCTCTTGCGCCGGGGCTAGCACGCTTGTGCAATTATGTGATTCCGCACGTCGATCATGAAACCACTGCTGTAGCTTCATACGGGTATTCTCAATCAGTGTGAAAATGGGTAACTCTCGATCCCTCTTGAATAATGCATTGAAAGACTCCGAGTTGTTTGACGTCATCATGTTGTATCGACGTCCTGAAAAATATGAGCGCGCCCAATGTTCAATCATCATTTTCGTTAGATAGTCCCATGCTGGGAATGATTTGCTTTCTATTTCAACCATGTACATATTACATTCTTCAATACTGTAAGCTTCGACCGCTCTCCTAAACAGTGAAACGATGCCTTTGTCCCAATACCTGCTCTTCAAGTTGCCTTGTATATAGTACATACAATACCCATAATGTGTATCAGGAAAAACTTCAGCAATACCATTTATTATAGTCTGTCTCCAATCGTTTACAAATGCAAGGTCATCGACTTTCCTGAGCTTTGTGAAGAACCAACGCATCGACAGATCATTCTCGTTATCAACTATGCCGAATGCAAGAGGGTATATTTTGATGTTGACATTTTGACATGTAGCAATAATCAATTTGCCTTGGTATTTGGATTTCAGAGTTGTACCGTTGACTAGAATTAGGGGTCGCATAGCATTTCGAAATCTCCGAATGCATTGTCCAAAAGCCATATAGAAGAATTTGAAGCAGTTCTCGACCTCCGTCTCAATAAAAAATGTCGAGCTGGAGAAAACAATGTCGAGCCAGGATTAGTTTTCTCCATGTTATGGCAATACTTAGCCAATTTAGCATAGTTTTCCTCTGTCGAGCTTATTAAATCCTCTAACGCGTATTCTTTGGCGTTCCAGGTCTTCTGGTAGCTCATGACCACTCCGTACTCTCGACGAATATTGTTAATGATGTCCGATGATTTGTAGATTGTCCGTGGATTCTGATACTTGTGCATTATCTGTCGACCAATAAACTAAGCTCGGGCTTACCTATAATCATTGCGACAAACTCCCATTTCACAAGTATGTTCCCGTGTATATTTGCGAATTACGAAGCACTCATTCGTGTCTATCTTCGTCGCTCGTAAACGCCAACTGCAACTGTCATCTATGCATGATAACATCAACAATGACCTATTCGATTTTTTTACTCTAAACTCGAAGTTATATTTCAGTGCAATTAGGTGCACAGTTTCTTGCAAATCTTTCTTCGTTTCAAACAGTTGCTCGACATACAAATCCTCATTATCGGGAACCACACGTGAGGAGTTAGAGGACGGTCCACTTGATCTAGCCCTCGAGGTCCCACCCACTCATGTCTCTGTCGGAATAAAGTAATCAACTCCTCGTTTGTAAAAGTATTTGCATTTTCATTCTTGCTGTCACGAGCTGCGGAGGGGATTCTGTGTACAACTGTTTCTAGAATAACCACATCATCTTCACGAACTATCTCCACTGTATCCCAAAAATCATTAGCATTGTCATTCCCACCTCCCGAGTCTACTTGTTCATCTTTGACGACATTCTTCCTTACTAAAGTCGCGCAAAGATGAGTCATGTGCTTATTGTTCAATTCAATTAGGTAATTCACTTTATCAACAGAAGAAACCATTATAGGTGGAATCGGAATTGATGCATGCTCGCTAAATTTAGATTTTAATTCCATGTTGTACTGAGAAGGATCAACATTCAACTTCTTCTGTAAATCATTATAGAGTTCTGCATACGATGTACCTGATGATATGGAAATTGCGATACCACCACGTTTAGCACTTGTCCATCTCCATACCCATTGATCTCTTTCATCCAATTCGAAATCACCAAAGTAACAAACTGAGACTACAACCATATCTGAATGTCGAAACAGAATTTTTAATTACAAGAAAAATATTAACAACAATAAAAATAAAACAAAAAGGGGGAGGAAGAAAATAGTTGACAAATAGCTAGCTAAACAGCCGGCTGTTTAACAGTCGGTCAAACAGCCGAATCATCGGCACGCGCCGGGCTGTTAACACTCAACACTCATCCAACAAAGTATATGTAGATGAATTTTTTCTGGTCAAATGTTTAAAAAATTATAGATCTATTAAAATTTTTCTATCTACATTACCATTAAATGTCGAAATACAATTTATCGATTTAAACGTACAATAATTTAATGAAAATAAGATTAGATTTGCCTATATAACTTACCGAACCGACGAGATTGATGTCCATAAATTTTTCGGCTTCCGATTTCGATAATTTTTTTAGTTTCTACGGTTGAAGCAGATGAAGAATGAGAGTGTTTTATTTATCTGTGTTGGAGTAAACAAATAAGAAAAGTAGGAAGTGTTTGGTTTTTATTTGTTAAGTAAAAGGGTATTGATGTCTTTTAAAAAAATCAACTTTTGTAATTTTATAATGTATTTAAGGGTATTTTTGTCTAGGGGTGGGCGCGGGTCGGTTCGGTTCGGTTCTCTTTAGAACCGAACCGAACCAAACTTTTCGGGTCTCTAGTAAATGGAACCGTCGGGTCCAAATATAATTATGGAACCGTTCGGGTTCGGTTCCATTCGGTTCGGTTCGGATCGGTTCGGTTCGGGTTCGGTTCGGTCGGTTCGGTTCGGGAGATTTGCCCAGCCCTATTTTTGTCTTTTAACATTAGATAGGTCATTTTCATAATATCCCTTTGTTGAAAAGTCAATGTGAAATTTAGGTTATTTGACTGAGTCAATTTTAAAAGTATCCTTGGGTCGGGTCAACTTATTATTATTATTTCATCTTTTATCAATACTATAATGGTTTCAAACTTCCAATTGAATTCTTATTTGCTTAAAATAAAATCAGAAAAAGCTTAATATTTTTTTCTTCCTAGTGGTAATAGTTTGTCGTTTTCATAAACTATGATCATAAAAATTTAATCGAAACACGGAAATTTAATTAAATAAAACTGAAAACAATCAAAATAACCATCTAGCATTAAAAAAAAAAAAAAAAAAAAAGATTACGGTTATCCCACAATTTAAAATATTACAATAATCAAATTCAATAAATAAGAAAATAAAAATGCTACGATTATTCAAAATCTAAACTCTCAAAAAACAAATAATGAGGTAAACTGTTACAACTTTCGAATTATCGCATAAGTTTTAAGCATCATTAGTACAATAAAATAATAAAAATACTTAGAGAAAAAGATAAATATTACGTTAATAAAGAGTTATGCACGTTAGAATATATATATATATATATATATATACCTCACAGATTTAGAAATGAATTAATCAAGTTAACTTATCCTTTATTTGATTTCAAAAGCCCTACAAAAAGTAATGATTAAACTAGGAATAAATTAGATAAAATACATATTTAACATAATTCATGGAATAGCTACATCATCTTCATGCAACTTGTTATATTCCTCCACAACTTCCATGTAGAATTTCTCTATGCGTGTAGATTCTTTAATCCAATTTTGTTTACACACCAAAACTTTCACCATCCCATGAGTTAAAAGTACAAAGTGGATTAAGAATTCTTCCGCCAATACTGAAAGCACTTTCTCAAGTCATCATAAACACTTGAGTAAACATTACATCTCATGCAAGTTTTGATAACGTACCATATTCGTTTCCATTAACTCTCTACCAATTAAGAACATTAAAACACCGTCCTCTATATCTTCACAAGCATCTAACAAGTATCTATCCACATCATTTTTTAATTGAACTAAATTTTTTGTTGCTTGTGATCGCTTAAACAGTCAAACCTAGAAACATGCGAAAGAGAGACACTTGAAGTAGGACTTTCTTTTGTTGAAGAAACCCCACTTGAAGAATTCACATCACTAGATACTTGATTGCTATTAGAACTTGCTTCACATCTTATATACCAATCATAAATAGACATCATATAGTCTTTCAAAATTTTTGTCATATTACAAGTAACTTCCTTATCCTCATAAATATCACCAAAACAAAAACTAGCATACACCAATTGTATTGCGGATCAAGCACTAGCAATCAACAACAACTAATTAACATTTTTCATTTTCCCCAATACTAGTCAAACTTTTTCTCCATGTTAATAGCCATTTCACCCAAAAGAAAATAATTACTTGAACTCAATTATTCCAATTCGATTATGAGTGTTAGAACTAACATGCATCGAAGCACCTAACTTCAAAGTTACTTCATAAACATGGAATTTCACAAAAAATAAAAGTATTTTCCCAATCAAAAGTTTTAGGAGGTCCATTACTTCTACAACCATCACACTTCTAAAAATAATTTACATACTACACATCATCCTCTTCTAATCTACAATATATTAAAAGTGGGGATTGAGGAGAAACTTTTGATTACCATTTGTACCTTTTCATATTTAACTTTAAGTCCAATATATCCTCATTTATCCTCATATCTTTACTTTTCCATTTTACCTTTATATTTTTATGTTTATGCTCAATAATACCCTTAAAATTAAATTTATTATAACTAAATTCAATTATTATTAAAATTAAAATTATTTGTCTTTTAAATTAAGTCAAATAATTTCCATTAAACACTATTATTACTAATTATTAGTATACGATTAGTAAAAGCTTGAAACAAAATAAAATAAAAATTAAGTCGAATAATATTAATACATAGAATTGACTAAAAAATAAAATTACTAACACGAATAAATATTTTCAAACCTAATAACACATATTAAAAATAGTATTGCAGTTCTAAAAAATTCTTTTAAAAATAATAAACTTAATCCATAATCGCAATATTTAAATATTTTATTAATCAAATACATAATTAGGACATTTTATTGTCCATAATATAAATATTTTTTGATAAAAGTTTTAGCACAAATTAAGGAAATAAAAAAATAAAATAAAAAATTATATAACAGCTTCCTTACTCTTTAAGTCTTAATTATGAATCCATAATTCACCACTCACAGATCACATATTGAGTATGTGTTTATAAATTGTTTTTCTTCCTATTTCTCTTTCTCTATTTATTTGTTGATGTGTAATTATTAATCACAAATTTTTTATGGTCTCTTTTGATCGGAATGATGGCCATTCTTTTTTTCATAGAGCACAACAACGAATAATAAACTTTTTACTTTTGTCAATGATGAATTTTAATAGTGTAAATTATGTAAAGATTTATTATATTGGATAGTTATTTTCAATTTATTTTTTACAAATATTATATTTTTAACCAAAATTTACTTGCATTCAATTATCCAATGCAGTACAAATTTTTCTTTATTTCCTCAACTTGAATCTTGTACATTTTGTTTTTATGATATACGTTAATTAGTGAACATATTTTCTTTCTTATTGTTATAATCGTACAATGTGTAAATGTTAGTTTTGAGGAATTGAAAATTCTAATGTCAATTTCATTTGCAAGGAATTTAGGTTTGAGTTGTTAGTTTGAAAAATAATTTGGTGCTTATTAAAATTTACAATTTTTTTCACTTAAACATTGGATAAAGAGAAAAAATCATCA